CCAAGGACTTCATTAAACAGAGACACACATGAGTGAACTAGGTATGCCCAAAAATATTCCTCATGGCACAGCTTGAAATGATAAGCTAGACATGCTCCGAATGTTGGTTAATAGGAGACTGATTTAAAAAACTAAGTTATGGTATGTGTGGTAGGCAGAATAATGGCTCTCCACTCCCTCCCTCTCCAAAGAAATGTCTATATCCTAATCCCTGCAACCCAAGAACGTTATCGCACACAGTAAAAGGAACGTTGCATGTATGATTAAATTAAGGATCTCTGAATTACATTATCTAAGTGGACCAACGCCCTTGATGGAGGTTAATAGTAGGAAACTTGGAAAGGAGCAGCCACAAGACTAGAAACTTCCCTCCTCTGAGGCCAATAGCTGGAGGTGGGATTAGAAGTGATTAACATAGTCGTTAAACTAGCTATAGAAAATGAAAAGTCCTTAGGAGCCAACTTCTAGGACAAGCTTCAGACTGTACAGAAAGTGTCCTGAGGCACAGGTCAGAGGCGGGGATATGGAGATTAAGAATCATTCTAGAGAATTATTGGTACTTAAAAGCCCACTTAGTCACACCCAAGAAGTTAATTCGATTAACAAAGTTACTCCACAAAGTAGTGTGCTCCTCCCAAAGAGAAGACTGTATCACTGCCATTTCTGGATTGGCTGGGGGCAGTGACCCTCCTACCTCACTGTGCCTGTACTGTCCTTCCCCTCTCAGACTTCCCTTTGCAAAGCAGCAAAGGCAGGTCCCCCCAAGGCTGCCCCAACATGACCATAGAGGCCTCCTTTTTTAACAGACGTGTTCCTTTCAGGGGCAACTCTTTCTGGCCACTTGTGTCTTCCTCCCCTTTTTATAAGTCTGCACTTTTGGATATAACTAATTCCTCTGTCTCTTGAAGAAAGTTGCCTGGGAAACTTGCTGCATACTACTCTAAGGGGGGGCACTGGGAGAATGTTACTTGGAGTTAATCCAAGGACCCCCTCTCTCTGAACCCAACACTTCCCTAAAACCAACTTTACAATAACAGGGTCCTTATAAGATGGAGATGATCAAAGAGAAGAAAGCAATTCTAATACCTAGTGATGTCGTTTTTTTGGAGTTGATGGATTTGGAGGGCAGAGTCCTTGGGGTCACTCGGAAAGATTGCACCAGATGTCCCCTTTTTGTAGTTTCTCCACAAGACTGAGATGTTACAGTCATAAAGAGCAGATTTGTTAGTGACGGAAAAAAGACACTTGCATAGACACAAGAGGGCACAGAGGCAGGAATAGGTATTATCATCTTTTGGTACGGAGGAGCTCATCTTTGTGAGCCAGCAGTTAGTTGCTAATTTTGGATAACTATGTAGAATTTGAAAGGGACTGGAGACAATCTCCATATCTTTACCATTGGGTCTGTGTCTACAGCAGTCTGATACCTGCTAGGATACAAAGCCTTTTATGTATTGATAATCTAGGTATTGGTGCCTAAGAATCTTGGTTTCAATGAACCTGGTTCAATGACTATGCTAATCTTTTGACCCCCACCTCCTTGGGAGTCAGAGTTTAATCCTATGATGCCTCCTTTAGATTTTCTATTCTTTCCTCTATTACAGAAACTGGAGTGATTTGGACCACAGCTTGGGCATCCTTTAGAAGCTAGGAAAGGTAATATTCTCCCCAAGGACTTTCAGGAGGGATGCAGTCCTGCAACCCTTTCAGACTTTGCTCCAGGTGAATAGGCGATGTCTTCTTTGGAGTTTGGGGGTCCTTGGGTTCACTCTGGGAAAGGTTTCACCAGAGCTCCCCTTTCAGCGGCACATGGCAAGATTCTCCACAAGACAGACTCAGTTACTTTTAAATAGGAAGTTTATTAGAAGGAGACAGGAAAGGGAGAGACACTTGCATAGGTGCAAGTGGGCGGGAAGAGCTGCCCCAAAAGGGACAGGTTTGCAGAGAAAGAGACCTGCATGGTTGCAGGTGGGCAGTCTTAGGAGAGCGGCCTGCCACTAGACTAAAGCACCTTCTGGCCGGGACCCATGGAAAAGGGTCAGAAATGGCCAGACAAGTCTGGGAAGAAAAGATCAAAATCAATATAAACACTGCCATAGTCACCTCCCTACAGGTATCTCGCCCACATCTGCCTTAACCAGTCTAGGTTCAGGAAACAAGCCCGGTTTCTTCATCACATGCTTGCTGCTCCATGTGGCTTCCTTAGGTCTCTTCCCTATTCTCCATCCTGCTTCATTCTCTTCTTTTTCTCTGCTCAGCTCCACCCTCCTTCTGGGTGGGGCAGGGAACCTGGAACTTCCCTTTTTCCTAGGGACCACCCTGTTACAAAAAGCAGAGGACTGATGCCCCGAGCTAATGGAGAAACTGTCCAGATAGGGACAGCTTCTCTCTGGGAGGGGCTCACTCCTTGTGAGCCTAGGTTTGTTGACTTTGAATAGAATCTGAGAGGTCGGAGATTCCCTAATGAGCTTCATCTCCATCTCCATGTCCTTGTCTTCACCTGGGCAGTATCCGGGCTTTGGTGCCTGAGGACCTTGATGTTCTGGCTGTGTCAGTTGCTGCACTAGCCCCTTCTACCCATCTCTTTTTGTGACTCAGTCTTGTGATGCCTCCTCTGCATCCCTTCCTCCATCAATAGGCAACGAGCTTAATATATAATGAATAATAAAATTGTGTTGTTTTGAGCCTTCCTGCTGGCTTAGGGGATACATCTCAGCACCTTTATGGCCTGAGTTGACTCCTAGAATCTCCTGTCTTGCCCACTGTCCCCCCTCAGCAGTGCCCTTTGTGAATCTGCTTGTTCTGTTCCCCACTCTTGTCTCTGGTGAATGTCTGCATTTTGTCCCAACCTGGCTGCTCAGCTCCACCCTCAGGTCCCAGCATGCTTCTCATTGGTATTGATGGGATTTGTAGTTCCAGAATCTGGAGTGGAAGTGGAGTCCATGAAACCTGTATGTGTTACACTCTCACCAAACCTGTACCTCTGATGTGCACCCCAGTTCTGTGTATATAAATAAATAAATCTTTTAAAGAATCTGCTAATGAGGGTGAGGAGAGCAGTGGGGTGAAAATAGATTTACCATATGATCCAGCAGTCACCCTATGTGTTTAGCCAAATATTTCAAAACTTTAAGTTGACAGATATATTACATTTCTATTTTCATTACAAGTGGATAGAAAGAGCTGCTCCCAAAGGAAAAGAGACATGCATGGTTGCAGGCAGGCGGTCTTAAGAGAGCGGCCTCCATTGAAGAGGTCAGTGGGGAGGAGTCCTGGCATGGTACAGGTCATGGCAGGCAGGATGCTGCTGCCCTGCAGAGGGAGAGAGCAGGTGAAAAGAAGCTAGAGATTTAATCTGCAGCAACAATGGAGATCCCCCTCAGTCAACAACCCCCATTCATTACCCCCTAGCTTGTGCCAGACATTTATGCATCCCCAATCCACATTTATGCATTCTCCAATCCACATCCCCATCACTCACATTCCTCCACACATCCCCCACCTTTCCTGAATCTGGCTGCCAATAAAAGTGAGACCATTCTGTGAGCAGCCACTGCATCTCCAGATGTGTAAGCCCCTCTAGGTTTCTCTGTCTCTACTTGGACTTTGTCTTTCCTTTGTCCCATGCTGTTCCCAAAGCTGCTGTCCTACGAAGCAACAGTGTCTTCATTTTCAGTAAAGTTTATATCTTTCTTTAAAAGAAGATTTTTATTTATTTATGCATACAAGAACTGGGATGTAACCCACAAGAGGGGAGTGTGTATGAGAGAGAATTCACCAGAGACAGAGTGGGGAAAAGAACAGGCATATCTACTGAAATATACTGCTGAGGAGAGCAGCAGCAAGATAGGAGAGGTCTGCTGAGCCATGGGAGTCAGATCCCTGGCTGACCCCATACTACAGTAGCTGCAGGATAGCTTCATAGTTCTGAGATTTAACCAGGGAGGCCCCTACTTCAATACTCTAAACCTCATTTATGTTTTTTCATACTCATTAACATGTGTATTTCATATGTACTAACAAGGTGATAATGGCATCTACAGGCTTGTAGAGACAAATAACATAACTTAAACGACAATGCTGGACACAAAATAAATGCTCAAGGATAGGTATTTTTTGGTTTGCTTTTAATGAAGAGATATAATTTACATCTAGTTATTTCTAGGTACCAAGCTCTATGTGCAGCCAAAAAAAGTGGGTTGTCTAAAGTAGGTCAGCAACAGCTCTGGTGGAAAATGAAACCAAGCTCTGGAATCCTAGTCGTCTGTGAGATCTCTTTATTTCCAGTATTCTCTAATTGCCTTCTGAGAGCTCCACCGTGTCCTCCCAGAGTCCAGCTCCTCAGACAATTCCTGCGTGTCCAGAAGTTGCCTCAGCGGACCTTCCTAGCACAATTTCGTGGCCAGGGCTCCTGCACTATGAATATCCCCTTCGCCTGTTTCCTCCAGGTGCTCAGCAGCAGAGACTTGCCCCTTTGGCTCCCAGCACCTGGCCCCGGCGCCCCTGACCCCCCAGCAAACCTCGTGATACCCACTGACTGCCGTGACCCAGTGGAGTTCCGCGCGTATGCGCTCCCGCAGCGCTTGGTATTCCGTGGTCTTACTGTCACCAAGTGTGCACTATATGGTAGAGACCGCGGCTGTTTTGACTTAGCACAGAGTAGGGAAGCATCCAGTTGCTAGAAAAAGGATTTATCCAGACAATGAAAACATGTAACTGGGGGTTATCTCAATTATCCTTTACTTATAGTGTGCCCTGAATTGTGCCGGCGATGTTTTCAGGTTTTTTTCCTCCTCTTCTTCTCAATTCGCGAGAGTGGGCATGCCTGGGTCGCCGCCTCCATTTACAGCGGACAACTGGTGCGATCAGAAGACTCAGCTTGGAAAACCCCGGATAGCTTAAACAGACAAAATGGCGGCCAACCCTCCGCTGCCTTGAATCTCCACCCACTTAGGGCGGAGGCCTGTGTCACGTGACCCTTCCACGCCTGGCCCCGCCTCCGGCCGCAGTGGCTGACGGGAGGCAGAGCACCGAACGAGGGCGTCGGCCATTTTGTGGCTGTTTCCTGTGGGACGCGGTGGTGGCGGTTGGGTCGGAAGAGTGAGCAATTTTCGCCTCGTTTTCCTTGTTTGTTTTCTTCACCCTTTTACTTTGCCGGCAGAGCGCAGTTATGGGTCGCAAAAAGAAGAAGCAGCTGAAGCCGTGGTGCTGATATCCTTTGTCGGTTTGAAAAGTGGAAGCCGAGCGGTGGCGTGGGTTGTGGTGGTTGGGACTGGGAGGCCTGGCTTTGGCCTGTGGCGGAGAATGTCTGGGATTTAGGCTCCAAACGGGTGACGTGCGACTAGAGTCGGATTTGGGAGGCGGACCCTGAGGAAGGCTTCTCGAGAAATAGGGACCCTTGGACGAGAGGCTTTTGCAGTTCCGAGTCTCGTGACGCCCGTGACTCAGGAGGATGTTGCTGTGGTGCCTCTGGGAGGCGGCCTCGACCCCTCCAGCCAGGATAGTGTTTGTACGGACTATAAGGCCACACTCGTGTTGCTCACGACCCAACAAAGGGACTTTCTTTTGAGTATAAAACGCTAGTTGACATGACGAGGGATCGGAGAAGCTTCCAGAGTCGCCGCGGGAATCCGCCACCCGCTTTTCGCGTGTTTTCTGTTTTATTTTGTGAGTGTGTGGCGGTTTTTGTACGATCGGAGACTTAGTCGGTTTACTGCAATCAGCCCTCACTGAAGCGCGCCCCCCCTTTTTTTCTTTCGGGCGGGGGTGGAGGGGAGGAAGTAGCTTCCGCGTCGCACCATTGGCGCCTTAATCCTCTAGGAAGGTTCCCTTTCAGGGTGGGGCTCTAGCTTTGTCGGACTGGGGGGATGGGGGGAGAATAGCCCTATTATTTACTTAACAAAACGTGACGTTTTTTTAATATTTTTTAGAAGCATTCGCTTTACATAAAATTTGATTTAGTTTACTACCTTGTACTTTAATTTTTTTGTTAGCGAACTGGATTTATCTATAATTGAAGGAAACCCACCAAGTTGCTAATGTGCTTTCAGGAAATTCACACCAGTGAAATAAGGATTTCAAGTTTTCTTAGTGTAACTGAATCCTGAGTTTAAATGTTTTCCTCGGTAACATTCATACGAATTTGCAAACAACTTGAGGTATTACAAAACTGTTCACTGAACTTAGGTTCTGGAGAGTAGCAATATTCTAAACACTCGGTGAATTCCTAATGCGATCACTTTTTATCAGTGAACTATATTTTGAAATTGTCTTTAAAGCCTTGGGTTGTTTTTTTTTTTTGCCGTCTGGTGTGTATTTGTAAATACTGAAATATTTCTCAAAGGGAAAGTTAATTTCACATAGGTTTCTATTAAACGCAGGAATTGTTTGGACAAAGCTATATCGGCTGTTTCTAGATACATTTATTTAGGGTTGTGAAGAGAGTTTATAGGCTTCTGGGAAATTAGGTATAATCCCTGGTTATAGGTTTAATGAATAGCAACTACTAATCGAATCTGAAGTGCTTTTTGGTTTTAACTGTTACCTTGTTTTAGTGTTAAGCCTGATTTCTTTATCATCTGATATGTTTTTTAAAGTAGACATTGCCGCTGTTGTGCTATTTTTTATTTTCGTACCTTAACCGAATTGATCAGGTATTGCAATAGAGATTTTGATGATGAGAAGATCCTTATCCAGCACCAAAAAGCAAAGCATTTCAAATGCCATATATGTCATAAGAAATTGTACACGGGTCCTGGCTTAGCTATTCATTGCATGCAGGTAATGGTTTTTCTTCTGCTTTTGAGTTTAACGATTTTGTAATTTGGAAAGAATATGAAAAACTTTTACTACACATTATTAAATAACATGACCATCCAGCTTGAGGAAAAAAACCTGTTCTGTAACCATCAAGAAAAACTGGTGATATATTCACAGAGAACTTGTATTGGCCTTTACTTTTAAATTACGAATAGTGTCTTTGATCCTAGGTTAGATTAATGACAATTAAGTTGAAATCACAGAGTATCTCAGTTTTGGGTTAGAGAACAAGGATCACCAATTTAAATTTTGTGAAACAGTTCTATCTAGATGCATCACAGTATAAATAGCTGTTGTTATGCATTGCTATTGGGACTTGGATCTGTAGCCTGGAGCTAGATCTAAAATTTTAAGTTCCTCAGATCTCTTTTGGATTGGTATCCTTTCCTATTCAGTGATCTAGAGTTCATTCTCTTAACAGGTATGGTAAACTTTATAACCTATATTTTTAAACATCTAGTAGTAGATCTTTATATCTTAATCATCATTTGTTTTACTAATTCTAGAGCTGCTTGCATTTTTACTTATACCCTAGAGAGATAAGAATGAGCAGATCCCTATTTGTTGGAAATTTAAAAACAAGTTTATAGGTTCTTTTCACTCTATTTATAAGCTCTAACAAAGTTTAATCACCATCAGAAATATCGGAGCACCTCCCTACTATATGCCACACACACAGCTTACCATTGTGGCTGTCAATAGTTGTTGCATATGGCTCCTTAAAAGAAAATTAATTCTAAAAAAATTTAATGCCTAAAATTATCACTATATTTCCAGTCACTGGTGGATACCTATTGGTATATACAGATATAAAACATTAGCATTTATCAAAGTCTTTGAGACAGCACTAGCTAGACACTTGGATATATAGATGTGGATAAAACAAAATCACTGGTGTTTATATCTATACTGTGGCAAAATACTTGATTTGTCTTATGGTGTTACCAAAAGATAAAACTGGGTAAAGAGCATAGAACATGAATACAAAAATGACATCTGAGTAGAAATCTGAAAGGAAGTGAGGGAGAAATTACAGGTAAGAGCAGTTAAAATGCCTCCTCCCCATCAGGAGAATTTTATATTTAAGGAAAGAGACCAGCAGTACTGTGCTTAATTTGTACAGGAGGACTTCTAGGGTCTTGTTGGCAATTTTCTATATCTGAGTGAAATGGGTACTTGTAGAGATGTAGGCATATTCTCTGTTACACTTCAGGGAAAAAAGATTTATTCCATTCACACACACAAGAGCTGGGGTGGAGGCCAGGGGGAGGTGTGTGCGTTTGGAGTCACCTGAGACAGCAGGGAGCAGCAGAACGGGCAAACCCACTGAAATAGACTGCTGAGGGGAGCAGTTGTCTGCTTCCTCACTTGGGTTAGCTCCTGGCAAGGGGTTGAACTCTTGCTGTAATAGGTGCCCACAACACTGAGATTCAGCCCGAGTGCCACGAAGGAGGTCCCCCACACCACCACCACCTTTTTTTTTTTTTTTAAGTTTATGCATGCAGAACTGGGGTACAGGCGAGAGAGGTGCCAGGGTGAAGAGAGATTCACCAGAGACATAGTGGGGAGCAGAACAGGTAGAATGACTGGAATATACTGCTGAGGGGAGCAGAAGACAGGAGAGGTCTGTTAACACTAAGTGAGTCACCTCCCTGGCTGGGGATTGAACTCATGCTGAACTCATTGTACTGTGCTTTTATCAGGGTTGAGCCACCAGGAGCGCACAGGGCCCCATTTCTGTTGCTTGCCTTTTTTTTTTTTTTTAAAAGGATCATTCTGGCCACAGGGTTGAGAATAGACTGCAGAATGCAGTGAGAGCGCTTAGGAGACTGGAGTATTTTGAGCAAGAGGTTATGACGACAGAGGCCAGAATTTGTTGATGGATTGAATGTGGAATATGAAAGAAAGGTATTGCAATTGATTTTTGAAGGCTTCAACTTTGAGAGCATATATATTTTTTGAGAAGGACTTGACTATCCAGATGGAACTCTTAATCTACAGTCTGGAGTTAGGAGATAATTGAAGTTAGAGATAGAAATTTGGCAACATCAGTATAAGGATGGCTATTTTAAGCCATGATACTAGATGTCCTTTCCACCTAGAGTAGAATATAGATTGACAAGAGGTTCAAAGGCTCTCAGCATTTACAGGTCAGAAGTTTAAATAAACCAGCTAGGGAAATAGAAAAGGTGGAAAAGAGTAAGACTGTAATATTCTGGAAGGCTCATATGAAATATTTACAGTTGTTACTTAACTGAGTCAAGTCCTTGTGGTAGATCAAAGAATAAAACTGAGATTGATATTGTATTAATCAAAGTGGTCATTGGTCACTTGCCAAGAGTGATTTCCTAGACACATGGGGATGAAAACCTGATTGGAGTGCTTTAAGAGAAAGAGTAGAAACACTCTTTCAAGGAGTTGATCATCTTGAAGTGGAAGATAAGTTGAGAAACTATTAATAGCTTTAATTTTCTAAGCGCTTCTACTTATATAATCCTACCCTAATTTTAGTGATCTGTGAGATAGCCATGGCAGTTAAATCAGACAATTTTATAAAGGATAAACCCTAGGGATTAAGTAAGTTCAGAGAGTTCACATCAATGTTCCTATCTTCTCAACCAAGATGCTACAACTAGGCAGAATTTTTTTAAAAATCTAATTGCTGTACCTTCATGTTTGGGGTTTTTAGGTAATGGGGGTAGGGGCCGTAAGCTTCATCTTGCTTATTACCACAAAGAACTGTAGTGAAGACTAGTGTGTATGAATGCATTTTCTAAAAAGATAACACATACACATACAAGAACTGGGCATAGGCCCCGAGGTACAGGGACGAAAGAATTCACCAGAGAAAAGTGGGGAGAAGAACAAGCATATTAAATACATCACTGAGGGGAGCAGAGGGTATGGCAGGAGAGGTCTGTGCCATGTGGATCAGCTTCCTGGCTGGGAATCAAAAGCCATAGTAGCTGGTAATTGCTTGATAACTCTGAGACTTGAATCCTTGTGCCTCCAGGGAGGGCCCTAACTTAAAGTGATTATTCAGTTCAGAAATAATGATAGTTTGATTTGTAGGGTAATATTTCATGAAATGCATCTTTTAAGAAAATTACTGTTTTTCAGTGTCTTGGGAACAAATAAATATTACTTTACATGGATAACTAGATCTAACTCATTGGTTTAAATTTGTGGTTTTCACACTTACGCATACATTGGAATTATTTGGAATACTTAATTAAAACAGCTATCCCAGGCTTCTCCCCAGCTCCCCAACATGGCACAACAGACCTCTCCTGGCAGCATGCTGCTCCCCTCAGCAGTGTACTTCATCGATCTGCTTGCTCTGCTCCCTACACTGGTGAAAACTCTCAGCTGCCATACACCTCTTGCCTGTACCCCAGTTCTGTATGCATAAATAAATAAATCTTTTTTTTTTTTTTCTTTCAAGCTAGTTCAAACCAAGTTTCTGACTTAGTAGTAGGTAGGGCTCAGTTCTCCCCTAGTAATGTTGATAAATCCTTCAGCCTACTAAGGCAATTCTTCCACGGAAAACAGCCAAGACTTACAAAGGTTCTACATGTTGGCAGAAGTTACCCATGTTTGAGTGTTAGCAACATTTAATCTCATAACTCTGCACTCCTGCATACCAGTGTTCACAATAAAGTCTCCTATAGTGACCTACCAGAAAATTCAGAGATGACTGTGACAGTTTACAACTGTGGCAGTATTTTAAGTGCCTCAAGTAATTCATTAGTTACGGATGATGCTAATTGTAAATGAATCTTGCCTTGATCCATTCATGATATATTCTAATTCTTTTCAAAGACTATATTTTGCCTAGAAGATCTGGGGTGTAGATCAGAGGTATGGGGGAGAAAAGATTCACCAGAGACAAAGTGGGCAGCAGAACAGACATATCAACTGAAATATACTGATAAAAGGAACAGTGGGTAGGAAAGGAGAGGCCTGCTGTGCCATATGTGGGTTAGTTCCCTGGCTAGGAATAGAACTCTAGGGGCTTAGAGGTAATAGTTCTGAGATATTGCCTAGGCCACCATGGAGCTTCTGTCTTAATTCTAACATTTCAGGCATGCATAAACTTTATTTATTAATTCAGGCCTGAACCTAGTTGTGTAGGAATGGTAGTTCTTTGCTAATAATTCAAACAAGATGACATAGTAAATTTGAAATAAGGTTTCTATAGTCTATCCTGTGGGTTAGGCATTATTTTGAGACTTTTTTATTCACTGCTATCTAAAAAGAGGTTTTCTGTTATTTAATGTTAGGTACATAAAGAGACTATAGATGCTGTACCAAATGCAATACCTGGGAGAACAGACATAGAGTTGGAAATATACGGTATGGAGGGTATTCCAGAAAAAGACATGGATGAAAGACGACGACTTCTTGAACAGAAAACCCAGGGTAAGTATTAAGCTGTAGGGTTTTCTTAATACAGCCTGACTAGTAAGAGTATTGGTACTACTCATAAAATTAATGGTTGATGGTTACATTTATTCAAATTCCAATTTTGAGATCTATTTGTCTTGTTTGAAGTTATGCTTTCTGTATCCGATAGTATTTGGGGCATTCTAAAACATTTCACTCAAAAATTAATCAAAGAGGAATTAACAAGTGTTTAGGTTTTGAAAATGAAGGTAGCTTGCTTTCAGTTGTATAACCACTAGTTGTAAAAAAAAATACTATTTGAGGTAAAATTTGAAGTGATATTCATTTATAGAAACTGTTATCTCTATAAATTTTATTTTTTAAGGTTTATTTATGCATACAAGAACTGGTAGGTGAGAGGATTCACCAGAGGCAGTGGGGAACAGAACAGGCAGATTGAAATACACTGCTGAGGGGAACAGTGGGGACAGGTCAGAGATCTGTCACACAGTGTGGGTCACCTCCTTGGCGAGGAATCAAACTCCTGCTGCAGTGGCTGCGGGATAGCTTCATAGTGCTATGCTTTAACTCCTTGCACCACCAGGGAGAGCCCAGTTTTCCTTTTAAAAAAGCATAGCAGGTCGGAGCTCCTTGTGATAGTTTTCTATTTGGTGGATTAGAAAGATGAAGGGTAATTATTTTCATCTGTCGTAGAATAGGGAAGGAATGTTAACTTTTTTACTTTAGATTGAGAACATGTAAAATGAAATGTATTGAAATAACTAAGTCATTGATATCCTAAACTTGCTTAGTATTTCTGATTTTTACTTTGGGGGAAATTAATTAGAACTTTATTGGCAGAGAGTCAAAAAAAGAAACAACAAGATGACTCTGATGAATATGATGATGATGACTCTGCAGCTTCAACTTCATTTCAACCACAACCTGTTCAGCCTCAGCAAGGTTATATTCCCCCAATGGCACAGCCAGGACTGCCACCAGTCCCGGGAGCACCAGGAATGCCTCCAGGTAGCAATGAGGTTTCTTTCTATTTTAAGGTTTATTTACTTATGCATATAGAACTAGAGTTCAGGGCAGCAAGAGTATTCACAAGAGACAGGGGGATCAGAACAGGCAGAAAAACTAAAACACGCTTCTGAGTGGAATAGCAGGCGGGACAGGAGAGGACTTGTAACACTGTTATCCCAAATTGTGAACTCAGTGGTATATTGGCTGCGTATAGCTTCATAGTGCTGTGCTACAACCTGTTGTGCCATCATGAAGGGACAGCAATACGGTTTCTTGACTTCAGCATTCTTATCACTATTGATTAGAGGCAAGGGTGGTATAGTTTTAAATTTCTTCTGACCCTTTAATATTTGTGTTTTGTTTGTTGTTTTAGGCATACCCCCGTTAATGCCAGGTGTTCCTCCTCTGATGCCAGGAATGCCACCAGTTATGCCAGGCATGCCACCTGGGTAAGAAAACTTTTAATTTATTTGTGGGCATTTGCCAAGTAATGATCTTTTCAATTTTCAACTTGGGTATTATAGGGATTATTGCTTTGTACTTTTTTTTTTTTTTTTTTGGCTTCTGAACAATATGGGCTCTATAAATGACTTCTAATAAAGTGGTCTACCAGTAAGTTGTAAAGATTATAAATTGGCTTCTGAAGAGAATTGACTTTGGGTTTTAGAATTTATGTAGGCAGCTATCTGATCTTCATTTGCATCCAATGTAAATAAAGTACTTTGATTAGAGATTTGAGATTCAGAAATGTTCGTGACACTTTGTAGTTGTGACAGAAAGCAAATGCGGTAAAATGATTTGGCAAATCATCAAGAACTAAAGTGAGGATGAGGTGCTCATGCCCATCACCTTTACGTAAATATTGTTGGATGTCAGAGGTATACACTTTCCCACTGTATTTTGAAAATCACAGTTAGATTTTGATTTTGTCATACATTTTCACAGATTGCATCATCAGAGAAAATACACCCAGTCATTTTGCGGTGAAAACATGTAAGCATCTCATTCATAATGTAATTCAGGAGGTATAATCATAATGTCATTTTTTTGTGTGTGTTTAAATGGTTATCTATAAAATTGACTTCCGAAATTTTCTGACCTTTCCCACTAAAACTTTAAATGTTCAAGCTTGATGACAAAAGTCTTTGTTTTATGGAGGGAAATAAAAACGTGAGGAAAATAGTAATACACCTCTATAAAGTCTTATTTTAAATGAGTGTTATTTAACATCCCCCCCAATTGCTAAAAGTAATGTGACATAGGGAAACTGGTTGGTGGTTAGGGAAAATACATTTCTTTTGCAAAATTACCTTTCGTATTGCAGAAGGTAGTTGAATTATTTTCTAAATTCTATACTAGAAATTTGACAAATTATAAATCAAATGAATTGGACGCATAATAAGGTGAGCAATATCAGGGGAGATAAAACAATTAATGGTTATGTTTCCAAGTCATGGCTTAGCGTTAGGAAATAATTTTGAATAAAAAGTGATTTGAGTTTACTTTGGAATTTATTTTGACTTTTTCCTTTAATTTTGGTGTTAATTTATTTTTAAAAACCTTACTTCAGGGTAAATTTCCCTTCAAAAAATTTAACAACTCTAAGATCAGTTTCTTACATTCATTTTTCAGTGTGGGTTTTTTCCAAGTGAGAGTGATTTGGTAGTTCTAATTGCTGAAAAAATATTTTAGATGCGACCTTTTAGCTAAAGGAACGTAAAAGACTTGTTTTCATTGAGTTTTATATGTATTGAAATGTTTTAACAATAAAACTGGTTTACTGGTAAACCCAAGAGTTTGCTGGTATTTAGGGGTATTTTTGATAGGATTTTTCTAGTATTATTTATTGTATTTTTAGGTTGGTTGCTTTCAGTATTAGAGGTCAAGTTAAAGTCATTGATTTCATTGTTTCAGGCTTTAGTCAGTGTTTTCTAATAATTTGTTGATTGCAGCTGTTTCTTGACATTTGCTTTCTAATAGAATGATGCCAATGGGTGGAATGATGCCACCTGGACCAGGAATACCACCTCTGATGCCTGGTATGCCACCAGGTATGGAATTTTAGGCAATTTCTTTTTCAATATGACTGAAATACTTTATTCTTAAGTATTTTTTTTTTTAAAGATTTTATTTTATTTGTGCATACAGAACTGGGATACAGGCCAGATATGTGGAGGGTGAGAGAATTCACCAGAGACAGAGTGGAGTGCAGAACAGGCAGATCAACGAAATACACTGCTGAGGGGAGCAGCGGGCGGGTCAGGAGAGGTCTGACACGCCATGTGGTCACCTCCGGGGCAGGCGGGAATCGAACTCATGAGGAAGCGGAATCGAACTCATGAGGAAGCGGCTTTAGATTCTCAGTGCTGTGCTTTAACCCGCTGCGCCACCAGGGAGGGCCTTATTCTTAAGTATTTTAATTAATATGTTGATTTGTGAGCACTGGTGCAGTGACTAAATTATAAGTTGGGAATGCTGTGATAATACCTTTTACGTGTTTTTAAAGTTCTGAAATACAGCATGAAATGACCAAAAAGCAGCCAGAGTGATTCACAGAGCCTATGGACTATATCTTTGAACCCATGCTTTTTTTTTTTTTTTTTTCCTCCTTCCTAAGATTTATTTATCCGTGCTTTTAAAATTTCCATGCTCTCTAAATTTTTCGTTTTTAAGATTTGATCCATACAAGAGCTGGAGTACAGGCCAGGGGTGCAGGGGTTGAGAGGATTCATCAGAGACATATAGTAGGGAGAAGAAAGGGCACATTGACTGGTAGATAAACCTGGCCACATAATACTATGAAACATAGTGCTTTACCCTAGTACCACCAGCAAGACCCCCTAACTCAGGAGTTTTCAAGGTGACTCAGGGAAGAAAGGTATCAACAGCAGTGTACTCCTTTACCTGTGGCTCTTTAACCCATTGCAAATTACTTTCCAGTAGTAAGTGTAATGGACCATTTAAAATGTAAGGGAACTTGGAAAGATGAGGTATTTGACTTAGCCAGACTATCAGTAAAGATTTAATGGTTAGTCTAATGAGTCTCCTCCAGAGGCCTTTGTGAGGCTTATTGGTTACCTTCTTTATATTTAATTCTAGTAAGAGTAGTTTGCAGATTTTGAAGTAAATGTTCATGTAATGTTTAATGTTAAAACACAGGAAAAATTAAGCAGCAGTAAAATTTGAATAGTTCATGTTACGCTGAGGAAATTTAAAGAGTAGCTGTAATGATGTATCTCAAAAATTATTTAAAATGGTAAACCATTTCTGTAAGAATCTTAAACATTTTTGGTGTGACAAAATTTGCATTATAGTTCAGAGGACATCTGTCAAATTACTTAAATCTCAGATTAGTAATAACAGCTAAATTTCTGCTTTTGTGTATATGTATTAATTTCTAGTAGTATTCTTCATTTCCCTGGACTTTGACTAGGTGTAAAAGGAAGGGCAAGTTTGAGGCACAGTTGTTGCAGAAATCGAAAACCTAGATTCCTTAGACTTCATTGAGCTTTAGTAGTTAATTGTTAGTAACATTGTAGTAGTGAAGCAGGGTTTTGTTTTTTGTATTTTTTTTTACATTTATTTTACTTGTGCATATAAGATCTGGGACACAGGGTAGAGGTATGAAGATTCATCAGAGACGCTGGGGAACAAAACAGCTGGGTGGGTTGAAATACACTGCCAACAGTTGGGTACTCCCTGCCCCCCTCCCCCAAATATTTCTTCTTTGCAGGTATGCCCCCCCCTGTTCCACGTCCTGGAATTCCTCCAATGACTCAAGCACAGGCTGTGTCAGCACCAGGTATTCTTAATAGACCACCTGCACCAACAGCAACAGTTCCTGCTCCACAGCCTCCAGTTACTAAGCCTCTTTTCCCAAGCGCAGGACAGGTAAGTTGAAATTCCTGAGAAAGAATACGTTTCTGTTGGAAGGTACCATGCGTTGTTTAGAGAGAGAACTCTCCGACATTTTCACTGTCTTAGCATAAACTTTTTAGTACAATATATTTTGTATAATTTATTAAATACATTTACAAGTAGCCTATTTCATGTTTTCACAGATTAATTTCTTCACTGGAGCCAGGGATAGTACAGTAAATTATTTTTTCATAGGTGTAAGTTCTGCTTCTTAGTTTTAGTTAGAAATGAAAATTTAATATGACTAAGTCAGTCCTCCTTGTCATGAGACCACAGTAAAAGATAAATTCTAAGACCTTAGCAAATCATTTTAATTTTTGCTTTCTCTAGAATATGACAAACTACATTATCTTCTAAGTCTTTTAATGACAGTTGACCTAGTCATGTTTGTTTCCAGTTGGTTTATTCCAGAATTCAGAAATGAAAGATATTTCTTTTACATGTTATGTATTCAGTAGTTAATTATTTTGTTTTTTTTTTTCAAGTTTCATTTAGAACTAAGCAAATGTATTTACTTCGAAAGCTAAGATCAATATACATAACATGGTTTCCACTTTAGAGTGATCTCTTGACTTGTTTTTTTTACCCCATAAATTAAAAGTATTATCTTGATGGTCTTTAATCACATTTATTTGTTTGTGTGGTTACTTGGGAGGAAATAAAATCTCATAGTAATTGTTAGAGAACTGGATTGCAGTGTCAAAGTAATGCTTTCATATTCTGTTAAAGGTATCATTTGTGAAATAACAGTACAAAACCACATCAGTTTTAGTTAACAAGATTTATCGTGTAGAATTAAAACTTGAGGCTCATACTGTCACTTGTTTATTGTAAATGCATTAGCTGCCTGCCTTTTTATAGATATATTTGATTGCATTGCATTTTGCATTTGCAAAAAATGCAATCTACTAAAAGTCTACCACGTGGCTTATTTTTACCCATTTGTTTGGAGACTTTTCATTGTTTCCTTTCTTTTATGCTACAGATGGGGACACCTGTAACAAGCTCAAGTACAGCTTCATCCAATTCAGAAAGTCTGTCTGCATCTTCTAAAGCTCTGTTTCCTAGCACAGCACAAGTACGCAGGAAGTTGCAGTATAAATTGTTAAAATGGCTTTATAACTTAACCCTTTGGACCCTACTTTAAATTAAATCTTTCCCTAAAATATGCTTTAATATTTTAAAAGTAAAACTAATTATATATAAAATCAGTGGTATATGAAAGTTTGAACTGATATGAATAGAAAAAGATTATACCCTAAACATCTATGGTTCTAAAGGGTTAAAAAGCATGTAAGCAGTAAAAGCATTATAGTGGCCAATGGTTAGCCTGATGCATGATTAAGCTATTATATTTTATGCTCTTTAATGCATCATGTATAATATAAGGAAATTAAGTAGTCTGCATTTCTTTCTAAAGTTGGCCTAGTCTACATGTTTTAGATAACTGGTATTAAGAAAAGTAACACATTTATTGTTGATAAAATGTTACTTAAAAGGTCCTACTGTAAATTGTCCATGAGAGTCACCTACCCATTGCTATTTGGGAGGGTATTGTATTAGTATTACTATATAAAGAACAATACTCTGAAGGGCATATCCTTTAATCTGCCATCATTGATACTAATTTTTCATTCTATGCTTAGTAACTGAAAATTATACAAATGTTTATATTCTTTAATTTTTAGCTGCTTGGTAGATTAATCTAACTTAGAGTAGTAAAAAGTAGAATTTAAGCTGTTCCACTCTATACTATTTAATTTCATCAATCTGGAATAAATACAAAGCTTTATAATTTTGGTGAGGAAATAGAAGACATCTGAGCAGTTATTATGTGACTTTGACCCAGCATTTTTGACATTCTCTTAGTCTTTTCTGGAATTCCATGGAGCATTTCTCATGATAAAAGTGTGTTACAATATCATTTAAATTTTGGTCATTTGTTATTGTCATATTTTTTAAATTGGTAGTATATGTACTAGATAATTTTGGACTTTAAAGTTTAGTTGATAAAAGATTGTGTTTTACAGGCTCAGGCAGCTGTCCAAGGACCTGTTGGTACAGATTTCAAGCCCTTGAATAGTACCCCTGCAACAACTACAGAACCCCCAAAGCCTACATTCCCTGCTTATACACAGTCTACAGCTTCTACCACTAGTACAACTAATAGTACTGCAGCTAAACCAGCAGCTTCAATAACAAGTAAGCCTGCTACACTTACAACAACCAGTGCAACCAGTAAGTTGATCCATCCAGATGAGGATATATCACTGGTAAGTTCATAATATTTCATTACAGAGTTTGATTTGAATAGCAGTGTAGCAACTTTTGAAAATTTTAAATTTTGTACATTGTCTTTGATCTCATTTGGTACTCAGTGAATTTTATCACTGGTATAAAAACCACAAAATACAGTCAGTGTTGCATTTTTTATCTTAGATTTAAGACATTCCCTTCACCCACCCCCACTCCACTGTCTTAAGTTGGGTTCTTAATCATTTTAGTTAAAAATAGTATAAATTAACTGAAACTGTTAAATTTGAGAATAGAATTTCTAAATCCCTCCTACAGTTTATATTCCTTGTTTACTAGAAAATTTCTTGCTGAAGTAATAATTTCTCAAGTGTTTGCTATGTGGGTGAGGTTTTCTTCAGGCATTGAGATTATAAGTAGATGGACTGATTTGTCACTCATACGTCACAGATTCAGGTGTGTGTGATTTAAAATTTGAGATGTTGCCTTTATTAATCTTTTTAGTTGTTTAACATTGTCCTTACTTTTATTTATAGGAAGAAAGACGGGCACAGTTACCTAAATATCAGCGTAATCTTCCTCGACCTGGACAGCCTCCAATTGGTAATCCACCGGTTGGACCAATTGGAGGTATGATGCCACCACAGCCAGGCATCCCACAGCAACAAGGAATGAGACCCCCAATGCCACCTCATGGTATTCCTCTTTTTGCATTTACTGTAGTTAGTGGGTTTTCAGATATACATATAAATGTATTTGCAAAATACATTTCATTTAAAAGTATAGTGCATAGACTAACTTAAATTATTTCTTTTTTTGTGTGTTTTTTAAATGTGTTTTATAGGTCAATATGGTGGTCATCATCAAGGCATGCCAGGTTATCTTCCTGGTGCCATGCCTCCATATGGGCAGGGACCGCCAATGGTGCCCCCTTACCAAGGTGGGCCTCCTCGACCGCCGATGGGAATGAGACCTCCTGTAATGTCGCAAGGTGGCCGTTACTGATCTTACTTCATCCAATCTAATAGGTTTGGAGATTAAACCTTTTCTCAACTTGTGCTGTTTATATAGCCAAGCTTCCGTCAATAAGGCTTCATTGTGACTATAACAAACATTATCTTCCCACATACCAGGAACTATTGGACATTTATTTTACATGGGAAAAATTATTTGGAATAATAAAGCAGGAACTTTTCCTGAAGTTGCAATTTATACTGTATGGCTTCTTTTTCATGTTTCATCTAGGTTTTTAGAAGTGAAGTATAGTAAATTTGGTTCGTTATATTGTGAAGGCGCTGGAAATACATGAACATACCACCTTAATAAAGGCAAGTTCTGTAAGCTTACATTGCTTTTTGTAAAGTTATGCCTTCACAGCATTTCAGATGCTGTTGGACTTTTGTCCCCAACCTAGCTTGGTGAGGGCTGTAACTGTTTCCAAGTACCTGTACATTGGAAGTCTGAATGTGTAACAATATTTAATGTATTTAGAGTTCCTCATGTTACAGGGTTTAAAATATCTGACCCACCAAGGTTATGTGACTTTTCTGTACTGTTAAACTTCATTGTAATAAAATGAAAGAAAAATTTATGCCTTTTTATTCATAACCCAGCTGTGGACCACTGCCTGAAAGGTTTGTACAGATGCATGCCACAGTAGATGTCCACAAATAAAAATTCAGTTACCACTGCAGTTTTGATATATCTTTGAATTTGTGTTTGAACTGTAGGTTGTTACTTATTTGCATGTTTTAAACAGAACAGTGTGTAGAGAATTGTATGTTACTGCTTCAGTTGACAGAAAAACTTAAGATTTAAGATACAGGGGTCATTCATTACATAACGGGTATGAGATCTTTATGTGTGTTACCTTTCCACCTTCCTTGGTGTAAATACATGTTAGATGTCAGACATTTCAAATGTAAACCATAATATTCCCTCTTGCCTGTTGCTGATGTTTATGTTTAGATGTTTAGAGCCTAGTGCCAGACCCATTTATTTTCTTGATTTTCAAAACTGCAATACTGCTTGGACCTCAGAAACTTTTCAGGTGCAAACTTCTAGAAGCTTAGGTGCATGCAGTAACTTTTTTTTGCTGTTAATGGCTTGGTATATATTTTCTGTGTAATGCCAAGAATGTAAATGTGTGTCTGTTAGGATGCTTAAGAGATGGCATTTGCCATTTTCAGTTTTATGATTTTCTTGGCGGTGACATTACTTGATCATATGGCTAACTACAAAGCCTTATCCTTACATATAACCTTTTAATTCTTGGGAATTTGTCACTGTGTTCCTATGGTGAACTTCTCTGAAGAAATAACTGCTGTTCACTATTTTATGTTTCAAGTATCTTTTTATAGTTCTTTTGACTTTTTGGGGTCATCTGGCTAATTGATTTTTTTGTGGGGTAATTTTATAATTAAGTGATCTATACAAAGTATAATTATTACTATAATGAAATCATTTTTTCTCAGTTAAAAGTAGGTTTTTGAGAAAGGGTTAATAACATTTCTTTGAATGAAGGTATAAATGTAAGGCATTTAATCTGAAGTTTGTTTAAAAATAAAAGATTTAACCTTAAAAGAAAATAATATTGAGAAAATGTTTCAGTGATCATAAATTTGTCTATTTAATTGACAAACAGAAGTCATTTATTTAAAGGAAACATTGCAAATATGTCACCGCTATTTTAAATCCTGATAATTTGCTCCAAATGGCTTTATAGCTCTTGTGCTGTGTTACCATTGAGGTCCAGAAAGTCATATAATTTGTAAAGGCAATATCCATGTTGTCACTAATAGCCAGATTCTGTACCCCTTTCCTCATCAAATACCTGGATTTTTTTTCATTAATGTACACTTTGTGGATTTGGCAGCATAAGGTCATAGTGCTAAAGGAAAATTTGTGTTGAAGATCTTTAAGGCAAAAAATATATAGTGATTAAATAGAAGATAATCTTCCAAAGCTCATGTTGCAAGCATTTCATGTAGAGGCTTTTTAACAAATTACAAATGAGTTAGTGTTCTAAGAGTGATGCACAACTTTATTTGCATTAAATACAGAGAAAATCAGTATTCTATTTAGGTGTATTTTGGGCTTGAAAATAGACATTATGTCCATTGTAAGTGTTACATAGGGCACTTATAAACTTAGACACATCCTGTGTTGATAGGTGTGTAACTCAGATGATGCCCATTTGGTAAACAGTATAATTTGTGCATGCATCAGGGCATAATTAAGCTTCTAGAAAATACTTTTTTACCTGACTGCTTCTGGGGTCCATAGTGTGGTTAAGTCATGAGTGGAACAAATTATATTGAAATGGTTAACTTTAACTTTCTTAAATAGTAGATGAATTTGAGTTCTTCACAGAAGACAACTTTAAGGACTTGATATACTCAGGCAGGCATTATGATTGCTGTAATCAAGGAAGATGTAAGGCTAATGGGTTACCAGCTTTGGCTCTACTCCACTCCTGTGTAACTTCTTTTTTAGTGAAAATGTGGCTAAAATATTTTGTCTGGCACTAGTTTCTATTGTGTATATCGTACTGGGGACAATAAGAAGGGCCAGCAAGTTTGAGTGGACTGCTGGGGTTAGTTAATTTGAATTGAGTACATACTGTGGTCTGTCAGGATTGGAGAAAGCACTCAGTATATTCGTGTTCTACTGATAAGTTACCTCATGAACTTAAATTCAGCTTAATTAAACTTAGCTGTTTGGGGGAAGACCCCCAATAAAGATGAATATGGGCTCAAAATGGAATTTCATTGGACAGGAGTTTGTAAAAGCAGAGCTACTCTTTGTCCTTTGCTTGCTTGATCATGGGAATTTTTTTTTTACTTTAATGCATGTCTATTAAATTAATTGGGTAATGTTTTTCTAAAATTAAAATTTTCTTCTTCCTATAGCCCTGCCATAGGACAGGCTGAGGCTGAGTCTCAGTGTTGCCCTGTTCAGTCTGAGGCAAGTGGGATTTATTTTATTCCTTATAGGGGCTTTCACAGCTTTATGGCTGTTGGATATTTATGTCCCCAAACTTGCAGCAAGTTTGGTGAAGGCCCCTAAATTTAATTAAATTTAGGATTTTTATACTCTGGGCAGAGAAGGCTCTATATTAATATTTATGTTTGACTGTGGTGTTAATAAGCATAAGGAAAGTATCTCGTAGATATAATTTTATGTGATTTATTTTGTGTTGCATAATTAACAGCCTCAGTAAAGTTGGTATTACAACATTTACTTTTTGTGAATTGACAAAATTTGATATACTTGATTTTGAGGCATGAGATGTTTCAAATTTTCAACTTAACATCTTTAGGAAATTCTTATTGGTTATATTCTCATAAACAACTAAATTTAACCTCAAGGATCCTTAGGTTTAATCTTTGGAAATGCTACTGGATATTGAAATGATACTGCATTCTTAATTCCTAAGGTACATTGCACATTCAGATTGAAAGGTCATCTGGAAATGCTTGTGATTTTTAATGTTTTCAGACGTCACCACATAAGAGCTAATGTTAATGTAGAGCCCTGTGGACAGTGGGAAGATGGTACTATGTTTGTGGTATGTATGTATATACACTACACATTTGACTTAAAAAGTATAATAAAAAGTTTGTTACAGACCTTCCTATTACATTACTGATTTTAAAGATAGCCAAACTGAAATTGGAATCATTTGATAAAGATAGTATATTAAACTTACTTTGGAACAATTTGAGATTCATTTTTTTGCCTTACTGAACATAATTTTGCAATATTCACATGTGGAAAATACTTATTTCCAACAAAAAATTTGCTTTTATGAGAAAGGTGTGTGCGTGTGTATGTGTGTGTGTGTTGTAGAGGGTAAAGGATAATGGGAGGAAGATCAAAACAAGCCCGGATTCTTTTTGTTCCTTCATGTATTTAAACCATCCTATCCAGATAGCTTTTTTTTTTTCCTTAACAGTAATATTTAACTTATAAGCTGGGATTGTATTTCTATGTGGTTTTAATTTTTGGAAACACAATATATGCATTAAGTGAATTTTAGATTTTTGCCTGTTAATCCACTTAATTAAAAGCATGCTTTCTTCCACTGTAACTGAATTTTAGGATAAAAGATACAAAAAAAATTTTGTCACAGCAGAAGCAATCTATTAGAATTATCTAACATCCTACTCAGTTATACCATTTTAAAACTCCATAATTTTCTGTTGCCCTTATTATTCCCCCAATATGTTGAAATAATTCAAGACTAAAGCTGCTTGTCCTGATTGTAACAATGGTAAATTAAAGTCTTTAAAGTGACACTTGGTACTGAAGGCAGGTGGGTTATCTCAGAGGTAGCATTTGTTGAAAGTACTGATGCCTAACTTGAGATAGTTTCATTGTTGTCTCTATAGTTCTGTGACATAGAAAAAGTTTATTGTGGAAATTATATAATATTCTAGTTTTATTTTCTCCACTGGTAAAACATAAATCACCTCTTAAGTGAGAAAGTTGTTTTTTGAGTTAACTGATACTTGTATTGATTAGGGATAAAAAGAAATGTGTACCCTAAAATTTTGTGTAAATCAGCTATGTCCTTTTTTTCAAAGGTGAAGTATTACCAAATAACTTGGTAAAATATTATGTTAACTTGGAAATGGGTTTTTTATGGGGAAGTTTCAGTTCTACGCTAATAGAGCAGATTTTTATAACTAAACATTTCCCCAATTAGACCTGTGCCTCATGACTTGAAATTAGTGGAAGATTTTATAACATAGAAATGATATGGCACTTCTGTGTGATGTTTCTGGACAAAATAAACTCTTCAATGATGTGTCATGTCATACACATAATGGGTATTCACAGTTCTGTAATGATGAATTTCAGAAATATACATTTACTATCTCAGCACTTAGACATTACCTATTATGGTGTAATTAGAGTTCTTCAATAAGGCTCAGAAGAGAATTGCTTTTATAAAGTATTTTTCCTGCTCTGGGATCTATACATTCTTGCATAATAATTTGGCAATAAAAGGAAGAGTTTTTCATTCTGCCAACTCTAGGAAAAACTTAGAAAACATACATTAATTTGAATTCTTAAGAGTGACCTGCCTAATTTTAATTTGTTGGCCTAGTCTCATGTATTCTAAGGGGAACTTACTAAGCAGTATGGAAAAGTCATATAAAGGCAAATAGGCAAATATTGATGAGCCAAAGGAATACATGGAAGCTTAATTTGAACTGTATTTGAACCAAATTTTAAATGACACTGGTTGGTTTATGGGTAGGTTCTTTAGGAGTCATGTAAATCACCAGCTATTTTGTGAGGCTTAATTTTGGTTATTACATATAATATACATTGTCAGCAAAATATAATTGATTAGTTGGACTCCACCTGTTAATTCCAAATGCTGTGCTAAGATATAGTGCTCTGCTCATAAAAAGATAAGTCCTTTTTTCAGTTTTCCCAATCCAGTTGTATTCTCACTGTTTCCGGGGTTTTCTTTTTTTATTTCACCATTATAGGTAATGAATTATATTTTCTTTCACCTTTAGTTATATTTTAATAACTCAATGGAATTACGGATAAACCATTATTACACATGGATAAAATAGTGTTTATTTGGAACAAACATTTTTTAGTCTACTAATAAAATAAGGTTGCTTGACTACCCAAGTGGACAAGGAGTTTAAAGATCCTCTAAGTTGATTTAGAATAGTTACGGGTAAAGCAGCCTCCCTTTTAGTTATTAACTTGGTTAGTATATTTCCAGTAGAACTGCTTTCGAGCCCATGTTTTTATAATTGGAAATATCTAAGAAATTTAAATTAAGACTTGAAAATTGAATTAAAAGCTATTAAGAATTGCTTGCATCAGTGTGTCTACATGTACAAATACAGAAATTAAAATAGTTTGAGAGATTTGCCCCGTTTTAGTGTAAATAAAATTTTATGGAAGTAATTCCTTTTCGAAGTGAGATGTGTCCGAAAAACAGTGTTGCTAAATCATAAGATCAGCTAATGTAATACTTTTAAGACATAGGGAAAAAAAATAATGTATTGTCAGGCTCTGAGGAAATTTAATGCACATTGACTTTTTTAAACTATGGATTGAACTCCTCAGTTTAATACAATTTGTGTTTTTGTTAACTAGCAGCAGAATTTCAGCATTTGCTACTTACTGGTAGAGAAGAAAAATCCCACAGCCCTGCCAGTACAGGTTAGTTTAATCTGTAAGTACCTGATGTTTGTATTTTTTTCAAACATATCCATATAACCCACACAAGGAAGAAAGTATGCAGTTACTTAAATGTGAGTATAATAGATTGATTGGACACTTTCAGACTTTGAGTACTTGGACCATACATAGTAATTTTAGGTTTGCTAATCTCAGTTGTAATACAGCTCCTTTATATTTGGTTGAGGTTGAATCTAAACAGATATCTTTTACCTTAAAGGAGAAGACTGAAGATTTCCATTGGCTATATATATATATATATATATGCTCCTGATGACATTTAAAATGGAGTACAAGCTTTTTGAGTCCAGGATCTTTTATTTAAGCCACTCCTTGGTGTGGTACTCCTGTTTACCTTCCAACTTTTACAGTATGAATCAACCTAAGAAAAGTCTATTCACTGGTATGCAACTATAGGCTTAAATGCTTTTATGGACACCCCCCCTTTTTTTAAATGTCAGTAATTCTTTCTGTAAATAATAGTTTTTTATTCTTTTGTAAACTATCACCTACTCTGTTGGTGTACCACCACTATAGATTATTACTTTCAATTAAGAATGACAAAACTGACCATCGAGAATAAATATTATTGTTTTTTTTTTTTAAGGGGATATAGGCAGTAATGGGTTGTAAAGAATAAATTACTGGCTTTACAGAGTTCATTATTATGTTAAACCCACCCTTGGAAAGATTTTTAAAAGGAAAACCACCAAGAGAATAAACAACACAAGTTTAGTTTTTATAAGCCCAAATGATCCTTCCAATTTATAAGATGGGTTAGTATGCGTGGCGTCCTCCTTTTCACCTTAAGTATTAATATCTAATTTGAGACAATTAGTCATATAAAACATTTGCTTAAAATTTTTTAACTGGTTATTAACTGAATATATTATATAAAATCCACTTGTTTTTTAGTATCAAAGTACCTGAGGGCTTAAGTTTCACTGCATTTCACAGTTGAATCTTATGAAATGGTGTAGATATAATGGTTTTCCTTAAAGCTAGTTCTTTAAAGCTACCTTTTTGGTGAGTACTGCTAAAGTTTTGTATATCAGATTTTTTCCTTTTTAAGTTCATTTAAATGGAATACTTTCATCAAAGACCCAAGAGAACTGAATTTCTATAATCTTCAGGTATCTTAATCAGAAATAATTAGATCATTAGGTAATTAGGATTTTTGTTAGTTCCGGATTCACCCTTTCTTTTGTACCTTAACAGGCTATAAATGCATAAACTTGACACAAATTATTTTGGTGACATGAAAAGTATTTTTGTTCAAAACCATAAACCATTAAAGAAGCTTTAAAATTAAATTTTCTTTCTAGTTGACAGACAAAAACTTTCTCATGCTTTGAGTTCCCAAATTCACAGGTGTAGAAATAGCTGAATTTTTTGAAGTATATTAAGTTTTTTCAGAAATGCTGATTTCTGGGACTTCTATGATAGTGAAAAATCCTTTCTGACAATATCTAAAATATATTCTTGTTCTCATGTCTTCCAACAGTATATTACACATGATTTTTTTTTTCCAGCTGATTTTAGCTGCATCCTTGCTAATGTCAGTAAGGCCAAGGATATTCTCACATTATTTCCTGCTGTGACCTTTATAAACTATTAATGAACAGTCAAGGAATGTTTTTTATTATGAACAATGATAGTTTCAAAAGTACGTCTGAAAATTGATACCTGCATATATGATAATGGTAATGTATTATTCTAGTGAAGCACTAAACAAAGTGTGGACCCTCAATTTATGTCTTTAAGATTTAAAGTGAAGTAAATTTCTAAGGAACTCTGTCCTTTCCTAGCAAGGATAAACAGACATTGAAAACTTGGTAAGTATCTAACTTTAAATGCATGTGATAGTCATGACAGTAAGTAGCCAAGTTTCCTTACTTTAATATTTAGACATGAAGAAGAATCCCTGCATCTCCTTTGCGACTCCGTATGTGTGTGGTTAGCATTTTTACAAATTTGTGTGCTCAATGATTAAATTGATAATGCTTTACTCCTTTGTCTGGTTTGTTTTCTTTTGTATTTCAATACTAATTTTACATTTCAAACTTCAGTGGGACATAAAATTTATATTCAAGAATAATTATTTGAATACACTATTTAAAGCCCAGTGGTGACTTCCTGGTTTTTTTTTCCAGCTCCAGTTAAAACAAAAAATGGGCAACTAATGGGGATTATCATGCTCTTTTTGGAGTATTTTAGGAATTACCATTGCATAATAGTGAAATGTTAGTAAGCCACTACCTTTCATTGTATGAAAACAGTGCTTTTTTTAATGAAGAAGGGATGTGATAGAATTTGTTACTGCACCTTCAACTCCTGTGATGGCCATTTATTAAATAAGGTGAAAGTGAAAACATTGAATTGCTGCACCTGGGAAGGTGACTTATTCTGAAAAGTCTTTTTATCCAAACTTGTACAGCACTAAATCTGTGTAATGGCATAAGATCCCAATATGTTGTAGGAAGGAGTGGGGCTGATACCACAATTGACTCCTTTGGCAAGGAAAGGAGCAAAGTCACCTAAGGGATTAGGTTAAGGAGGACCTGGATGTAAAAAACAAAGATAAAATGGCTCGCTCACCTCTACAATTATATGGTTTAGCCAAGCACATGACTACTGGCCTTTTTGAAAACATAATTACAGCTTGTAAT